CATGTAGTGAAAATCCTGAACGTAGAGTTCCCCAGAATTTATTGGCTTAAATCGGATAGGCTTTACATTAATTTAATTGTTTTAACAACTGGATGGCAGTGAAGCAGTTATGTTTGGTGTCTATGTATGCCTAGGAAGCATTTAATCTGCAGATGCATGAGGAGTATTTCTACACATTGAGTGAAATTTGTCATTGCATATGTGTCTTGATCTCGCTAGGTGCTACGCATTCTGGCTCCAATCCAGGAAAATTTAGGTAGGTACTCAATTGAAACAAAGGGATTCTTCCTATTCTTAAAGTTGAGCATGTTCTTAGGAGCTTTGCTGGATTAGACCCAGAGCCTCCATCACCTTGCAGGATCAAGCCCATACAGAGTAGATAGATTTTCTCTCATACATAACAGGCATTTAAAAATGTTTAAAAAATTATTCAGAGGAACTTAAGATATTACAAACTAATAGGCATCGTTGTCTGTAAGGTTACAGGGCTGTAGAAAAGCTGTCTAGGAGTAAAATGATTTTCTTGTTTTCCTAATGTAAAATGCACCAAATCAATTCCCGCCAAACAATTAAAAAACGGTCCCTGACTGAGATTATACACCAGTAATGGTGAACTACAAACCCCATGTAACAGGGAAGCATAACAGAAAAGCAGACAGGCTTTAACTCTACCATCACTAGTGGGCACTGCTCTAATGTGAGCTGTTTGTATAGGAAATATTTTACATTGTAAAGACTCAAGCAAAGTTTCCTTTGCTGGAGCATAAAGCAAAGGAAGTCAGAAATGCCCCACCAAATAAACTCCCAACCATGCATGTTTTGAATAAAGAGCAAAATGTTCAAGATTCCTAGTGGCTTGTGAGGAATCAGGAGTAAATTAATTGAAATACAGTGGAAAGTCACTTTATTGTTGTTTTTTCTCCACCAATTATAGTTACAGATAGTTTAGCATTTCAAGTTCAAGTAAATAATTGTAGAATGATGCAGTATTAACACAAAGTGCTGGAGATGTTAATTTACTGTGCTTTTAGGCTCTGTCCTTGACACAAATCAGCTGGAATATTGCCCTACAAGGACATCTGAGGATTCCTCCTGGCACAGGGGAGTCCTAGGGTGTCATAGTGATCACATGTCTGGCTCCCATCCTCTCTAGAGGGCTTGGGCAGGGTACATGTCAAAAGAGCAGGGAGGCAAGACAGAGTGCTGTGTGCTCCATCAGCTCCATGCAGGAGTAAATTGGGGTAGCTCTGTTAACTTCAATGGAGCAATACCAGTTTACACCAACTGAAGCGCTCATGCAAAATGTCTCTCATTCCTGACAAGACAGCAGGCGTTCTGTTTCCACCATATATTTGGTGGCTGCAGATTCCAGTGCTCAGCATATGCTATATACACTGTTATACGTAGGGCAGATAGCTTTTGCCTTTTAAAATATTTTCCTGGCCATGTCCAAAAAACTGGCATACATCAGTAATTCCATCTTTCTTATGTTGGAATAAATCAGGAGTAACTCTCTTGAAGCCAGTGGTGTTGCACCAGTGTAAAACTAGTGGGCAAACAGATCCATACCTTGAGTGTTTTTTTTTTTTGTTGGATTGCATGTGCATCAGTGAAGAAGAGTAAGTGCAGGTATATTAACAGCAGTTCCCAATCGTTTACTATGCACATGTTCTTCACTGCCTTCAAACCTGAACACTCTGGTGGGTCCCCTACCCGATTCTATAATAGAGCTGTCTCACAGGAAATGCCAGTGGGATGCGCAGCCCATTGAATCTCTCCTCAACTATCTTTTAGCCAAGGAGCACCTTTTGGCCAGGTTGGGGTGTTCACCCTGATGGCATCCCTCAGTGCCCTGCCTGCAAAGCCAGATGACCTCTCTTTAATGCTGGTGTAAATTCTAAATAACTCCACTGGTGAACTTAATGATGCCAGTGTAAATTCCATGTAATTTCACTGGCTGGTTTAAAGTCCATGGAAGATAGTGGGTGTCTCTCCATTGACTTCAGTGGGCTTTGGATCAGAGTCCTAAGTGTACCAATGTAAATCCCAAGTGACTCCGCTGGCTCACTTAGTGACGTGGGTAAATTCCCAAGTAAATTTAGTCTGTCACTTAGCTACTCTGGTGTAACTGATATAACTGTTAACTCTGATGTAACTAAGATCAGAATCTGGCTTTCTGGCCCTGGCTCTGAGGAGTGAGAGTTGAGGGCTCTCAGAGTTGGCCTTTGGGTCCTATGGAGCCCTCAGCCCTGGGCCCCCTTGATTTTGGTGAACTGGAAATGTAAAGTAGAACCTCAGCTTTTGTTTTCTAGCTCTCTACCTTGCAGAGATAATTTTTCAAACAAACACCAGTATAAATAGATGTAAACTGGAGTTGAAAGGAACAGGCCGCCGGGCTCTGCTTTCTACACTCTGAGGCCAGGGAAGGCAAAAATTGCCAACCTGGCACCCCCTTCACATGCATAGTGTGCAAAACGAGTTGGTTACCTGAAGCTGTAAATGTAAAGACTCATGTCACTAACCTGCCTGGCTGCATTGGACTGGGCCTGGTGTGATAATGGTACACAGGAATTTGAAACATTTGGTGGAGAATCATTGTTAAACTCCTCATCCAAAAATACTCAGACTGTTTGCTGAGTACATAGTTACCCCGAGAGCCAGGAGGTGAGCAGCACTTTATAATTGCACTTCCAGCCTTGCTCTGAGCCAGGGCCAGAATTTGGCCATTTAACAATAATGCTTTGCTACCCGAGGAACTGAACACAGTTTACAAACATCAGCTGATTTGAATAATGGGGCTTGCATTGGAATAAAGGGGAAAATAGACATGTTAAACATTCTAATAAGTAAAAACTTACACCATAAATTAATTTAAATCTGTCCTGATAATTTACAAAAGTACCCTAGAGTGTTTTGTCATCCATAAAACAGTTTACAACTGATACTGAATTGTCTTCAAAGGCACACAATAAACAGTTGGAGGATCTAAGATAAGTAGTAGCACAAATCTGTAATTAAATTGAGACTAGTTAACCTGAATTGCATCACTTTTATTGCTTCACTGCAGAGGATTGTTGTAGTGATATTCCAAGTCTTCATAGACTATGAAGCACTTTGTTAAACTGATTTACAACAGTTTTGCAAGGTGTATTTAATTGCTAGCACTTTCTATTAATACTGAAAACTACAAGAACCATTTCTTTTCAGTATTGCTTCATTATCACCCCTCTTTGAAAAAAATAATTTGCAAATGTTCAACTAAACATTGCATGACTATACTTCTGTGCAAATAGTTTTTTAGAATGCTTCTTTAAAACATGAAGTGAGGATAAAATGTCCAAATAAAGTTGATTATCCTTAGACACGAATGTCTTTTGTGTTGGAATATGTATTTCTTGCTTTCAGCTTTATGAGCTTTAACTTCATTGTGGCACAGGCTTGAACTATATACCTGTGAGTGATAAGGTAGGAATTTGCTAGATTCTGATCAGTTACACCCGTGTCAAAACAACGCTAAGAGAAGGGGTTAGGAAGATATGTGGCATAACTTCTTGCAGCAGAAATTTCTTGCAGCTTCTTTTGAAATATCTGGTATAGGCCATTGTCAGAGACAGGATACTGGACGAGACTCAGCCATTGGTCTGATCCACAATTGTTCCTAATTCCATTAACTTCAGTGGATGTGTAACAGTGTAACTGAGATTAGAATCTTGTCTAGAATTTACTGTTAGCTCATTATGAATAGGGTTGGGTATGTGGTTTTCCTAACTGGCTCTGAGCCTTCAGAGCCACATGTGCTTAACTTTACGTGCTGTGAATAGTCCCATTGACACAAACAGGACAATGCACAGTGCCTAAAATGTGCTACAGTCTTGGCTGGATCAGGGCATGTAAGAGACCTCTTTGAACAGAGTTCAGCAATGTGCTAAGCACCTGCTGTGAGGTTCTGAGTATTTTTAAGTCCCTGTGACTTCGCTATGCTGACCAGGATATGAAGTCTTTGATGATAAATGAAAAATAAGTATCAAAGCAACAATAAAAAAAAAATCAAATGCAGCTCTTTTCTAGTCTGCAGTGCAGAGTGCATAAAATGTTTTGTGCACCACTATGTCTGCACTGCATGTACGCTGTTGGTTTTCTATCGTGGGGATCTGTAGGAACAGTTTATATTCCAAAGTGTTACACTTACCGTTCGTGTGGGTGGGTTCCACTCTATAGAGATCAGTGGCATTGCCTTCACTTATTACACCTGTGATGAATTTGACCTATGGATGCAAAACAAGGAAACACCTTTCAGCCAGTCCGATATTAAGACTAATTTACTACATCTATGACTAAATGCAGAGTATTTAAGTATTTAAAATAATATTGATATTAATTAAAATTAGGTACTTAGTAGTTGCTAACAAAAGTGATTGTTTTCAAATCTGTCTGTCAATGGAAATCTATAGCCTTTTTGGAACCAGCTGAGTTTTGCAAAAGATTTGAAGGGCCAGATTCTGCTCCCATGTATATCAGTGTAGGTATGGAGTGACTCCACTGATGGCGGTGGAATTCCTTTGGCTTTATACTGGTGTAATTGGGAGCGTAATATGGCCCAGAGTACGTTATTGTGCATCACAGATATATTCTGAATTCCAATATTCAAATGTTCGTAAGGTTAAGGAGGAGATTTTCAAAGGCACAAGTGGGAAGTAGGGCACATCAGTCCCATTGATGATCAATGGGAATGAACTGCCATTTGTGCCTTAGAAATTAGCCCCCCCAAGTGCTTTTTGTGTATCCCTTTTAAACAGCCTGGCTTCAGTAGAGCTCTGTTGATTTACACCAGCTGAGGACCTGACCTAGCATAATGAAATGGTAAAGCACAAACAGATTTTTTAGCTTGCAAGATAATGAAAAAAGTAAATGTGTGATGTGCTGTTATCACTATTGACAGCAGAGGGAATAGACATCCTTACAACTGATTTTAAAGCTATTTCCCCTATCTTTTTTTAAAGGTTATGAAGATTATGATCACATGTGCAGCTCTGCATAGCTGTTCCCTTGGAGACGATGGTGGTTCCCTAGAGAATAGGCGGAAATGCCTGGTTAACCATCAGCTTCCTGCTCTTTTTATCCAAAAGATTCTCTAACTACTTTTTAACAACTCTCCGTTTTATTCCATCATGTTGTCTCTACCAGCTTAAACTATTTCCTAAGATGGTCCTTTTGCTGTTCCTTGCAATCCTGTTATTGAAGGAAGATGTCAGTGGGAACTTTGGGTTTTTGGTTTCTGCACAATCCAATGAAAGAAGGGTGGTTGCACATATGCCTGGTGATATTATCATTGGAGCTTTGTTTTCTGTCCACCATCAGCCAACTGTTGACAAGGTCCATGAGAGAAAATGTGGAGAGGTGAGGGAGCAATATGGCATACAGAGAGTGGAAGCAATGCTTCATACTCTGGACAGAATTAATCTGGACCCAACACTATTGCCAAATATAACACTAGGCTGTGAAATAAGGGACTCTTGTTGGCATTCTGCTGTGGCTCTGGAGCAAAGTATTGAGTTCATAAGGGACTCTCTTATTTCATCGGAAGAAGAAGAGGGGATAGTGCGCTGTGTCGATGGATCTTCAACATCGATCCGCTCCAAGAAACCCATTGTCGGCGTCATTGGCCCTGGTTCTAGTTCAGTAGCGATCCAGGTCCAGAACTTGTTGCAGCTTTTCAATATACCTCAGATTGCTTATTCTGCCACAAGCATGGACCTAAGCGACAAAACTCTGTTCAAGTATTTCATGAGAGTCGTGCCATCTGATGCACAGCAAGCTCGAGCTATGGTGGACATTGTCAAACGCTATAACTGGACCTATGTTTCTGCTGTACATACTGAAGGCAAGTGTTCTACTTTTTTTCATCCAAGCATGATTTTGAATTGCAAGCAGTGGTAGTTAATTACTAGATGATTATAATGTTGCCTCTTTTTTTTAACCTGTTAGTTCTGAATGGTGTGGATTGCATATGTTACTTTAAAGATTAGTTTCATACACATGGTGTGTCTTGGTGACATTGGGCTGGTATTGATTGAACAGAAGGTTTGAAATCCAGAGTTTCACAGTGTGAAATGTGTTTTTCCTATCATTTATCACTTACACAAAGTCCTTCAGGTGGCATTTAAAAATTGGCTGGGTAATTAGCTTAATGTAACTACTACTCAATACAGCGGTTAGAATATTCATTGTGTTTATGGTGGTGGCAACTGCTAACGGAGCTAATTCTGGTCTTAGCAGTATGAGCTGCACTAGGGCTTGGGAGAGCAGTGACAGTAGTTTGCCACATGCTCCTTATTAGCACTTGATGCCGGTATCAGCGTATGCATAAGAGACTCGAGGACCTGGCCGATGCTCTGAGTGACCACACCTCTTTAGGATCAAGAAGAACATTTTGCTAGGACCTCTCTCTAGAATTTAATGGACCACTAGGTCAATTTTTTCATGTATATCTGCTCATCTGCATTTGGGGATGGGTGGGAAGAGCCTTCTTGCACCTTTATCACACCCTGATGTTCCATGTAGGTGTGTAACAGGCCAGAATTGTACCCTACACGCCTCTCCTTCCTTTAAGTTTGTTCCAAGATTAGAGATTTTACAGTGTACTGTGAAGTGCATGCGGTAAAGGCATGGGATAGGGAGGAGTGAAGGTAGACTACAAATGAGATAAAGAGCCTGATACCCCTATGACTTACACTGGCTTACTACACTGGGGTAAGTGAGAGGAAAAGCAAGCCCAAACCACTATAAGCCCTGCTCTTACATGCCTGAGCAACACCAGAGAGTGGGCAGTGGGGTGCAGTACACAGTGTTTACCGCGTGGGGTCGAGTAAATGTGTAGTAGTGAGCATCCTGTCCAAAAGAACAGCATGTTTCTTTGCCGAGCAAGTGTTGAACACCTTTGCAGATGTGCTATTTTCTTTATCACAACCATTAGGCAACAGCTCTTTCCCCCTCTCCTGCCCCCCACACATACTGTGGATCTGGTGCTTTGATAGGCATTTTACCCATCTTTTTTGGGTAATATTGACCTGATGCATGGGTGTGGTGACCTCCTCTACTCTGGTTGATGCCCATAACACATTCTATAGGATTTATACCTAATTATTGAAAGACCATCAACCCTAGTGAATGTAAACTGCTTTAGAACTTTTATGCAGATTTTTTAAAAGCCTTTTTTCCCATCCTGATACTGAGGGCTGATGAGTAATTGCAGTCTTATTCAGATATGTATGCATGAATATATTAACAGTTTAATGTAACAGAGTATAAATCACAAAGCATCACATCATGCGCTGAAGCTGCTATGGGCCATATGATGGCCTTGGCATACCTCCACGTTGGACCTTCCCATCACAACATGTGTGTGAATATCAGCTTGGGAGTATGATTTGAAAAAGGGGGAGGATATAACTGATATATTAGTGTTGCATATTATCATATGATGTCACTTTTTTAATGCTTCCAACTTCTGCTCAAGCAACACCCCCGTTTTAAGGTCATAGGTGACGTGTCCAACACAAGCAGAGTTGATTTTGTGTCGATGTCTGTCTCCACACATCATGGACACACAACATAGACCAGACAGTAACATGCATCCCCGGATAATCTTACCACAGAAGATGTTTACATGACGCTGGTTGCATGTTGGGAAGGAGGGGGATTGGGATACTGGAATTGAAGCTGGAGATCACTGTTGTGGATGAGACAAGGGGGATGGATGGGTTTGGGGATGGGAAGAAGGGACCCAACTACCACCAAATGTGTAATTAGTAAGATGTTTGCTTATCACCATCCTGAGCACATGGAATAGATGGTGGCCTTTAAGCCACACCCTTGGATAGAGTGTGGTGTGGAGCATCACTGGAGAGATGCCCAGTCTCGCCGAGAGATGCCCAATCTCTCCTAGAGTTGTTCCTTGCACAGATAGGGGAATGCAGTTTGCGCCTGCCATTGCTTGTGGAGCAAGAAGCCTCCCTGTCCACTTTTTGGTGTCTTGTTATTGCAGGCAGCCCCAAGAAAGGTTGTGGGGAAGCTTCTTGCTTGTCTTTCTATCCCTGCGTGGCCACACAGAGGTTGCTCACCATCTGGGCCTTTGCTTGCAAATTGTATCTGTGTCTGTTTTTATCTTTTCAGATGGTATACTCTTTGGGGCAGGGACTGTCTTCCTCTGTGTTTGGAAAAGTCCTTTGGATGCTACCACCACCTAAACTAAAAAATAATAATTAACCTCCCCTCCCCCAAAAATGTGTAACCGCTGATGGAGAGCTGGATTTCCAGATGTTTCAAATGAATGCTGTGTTTTATCTTATGATCAATCTCCAGTAAACAAGAATCCACAAGTATAGAAGGAAACATCAAGGACTTTTCTTTGCTTAGTCTGGAAAGAATTATTAGAATGTAAGGGCAGATCCTCAACGGAGCTTCATCAACTTCAACATAGTGGCCCTGTTTTACACCAGTTGAGGGTTAGATCCTTACTGTTCAAATGTCTGTTTGGTTAATTTTTGCAGAGTAGTTTCAAAGAACCTAACATTTAAAGTACTATGTTTCAATAGGGGTGTTTTACATGGAAATAAAGATCTTGGCAAGTGGAAACCTCCAAGGCCGGATTACACCATGGTTACACCAGAGTAGCTTCATTGATGTCATTGGAGGTACTCCTGATTTACAGTGGGAGTGGGTGAGAGTAGAATCAGAGGCACACATTGGGATCCTACCATCTGATGTCACATGCTGGCGATCCAGATGATGAGCATGTCCTCTCTGTCTGAATATCCTCAGAATTCCGCAAATAAACGTAAAACACTAACAGCTTGCCTTAAAAATTGGCTATAGAAATAGGAATTCGTTCATATATTTATTCAGATGTTCTGGGCACTTTCCAAATGCTGCTGCTATCCCAAAGAGGAAAAAAAAATGTCAAAACACAGATGAAGGTTGGGGAAAAGGGATTCAACACATACATGAAAATAGATCCGGGTGAAGCTATTCACGTGTCTTGTTATTTCCCCTTTTAAAAATATGTCTGAACTATTCCCAACTACCTGCCTACCTAGTTATTTGTAGGTTTTATTTTTTAACTGTAACTCATCCTAGCCTAGTTTCTATTTCTTTTTAAACCTCCTGACTCTTGCACATTTACCTATTGATTTACACCCATTATTATTATTATTATTTCAAATAAGATTTAAAATGCTAAATCCCACTTTTATGCCTAACTACTATCTTACTCATGATCCCCATGCATTAACCATTGAGACAGCAACCCCTGGCCCCTCCTGCAGGGTCTTCTGTAAGCCCAAGTGTCAGCACTTATTCCCTTCTGTCTATGTGTATAGGCAGGGCACCCTGACATGCAATCTCTGACTTCCTGAGGGGGAAAGGTTCCATTCCCAGGAGGTAGAGAGATCCTGCCCCTCATGGCTGCCCTTGGTAGAGGATCTGGACAGGGAGGAAAGTGAAGGGAAAGTCCATCCTGGCTGATTAAAAGACCACTAGTCTACCCCCTGCATAACACAGGCCATAATATTTCACCCAGTAACCCTGAAGTGGAGGGAAAATATTATTACGTATTTTCCAGGCATGTGCTATCCAAGCACACAGAGATTATCCCTTCCCCCAAGAATCTTACAATCTAAATAGACATAAGGTAGGAGGGGAAACAGGGAAGAGAAGTGAGTTGCTCAAGGTCAGTGGAAGAACTGGGTTTAGACCCAGGTCTCCTGAGTCCCAGCCTAGTTCCCTAGCTCTGACAGTACAATTTATTTCCTTACATAAACAGTGAAAGAGTGAATGTCAGGTAAATCGTCAGTGTTCACATGCATCAAGAGTGATTGGAGAGCCACCTTTGGCTAATCCTAATGGTGCTGGAGTCAGATCTGCATTGGTTAGTGCCTGTAAATCAGTAAAAAGAAAAGGAGTACTTGTGGCACCTTAGAGACTAACCAATGAAGTGAGCCGTAGCTCACGAAAGCTCATGCTCAAATAAATTGGTTAGTCTCTAAGGTGCCACAAGTACTCCTTTTCTTTTTGCGGATACAGACTAACACGGCTGCTCCTCTGAAACCTGTAAATCAGTAGGTTGTTGTTTCTGTCTATTGGAGGAACTACATATAAAAGTAGGCTATCTCCTGATGGCTATATTTCTGATATTGCATATAATAAAAGTGGTCTCGTATTAATCATCTTGCAGAGTGATGTGGAATACATTCACTATTTGCAGTGGAAATGAAGGCTTGAGTTAATGAGGACAATTATTTCTGAACAGTAATCATCCAAGAGCTAAATGGGACAACAAAACCCTTCCATTTAAACTTATGATGCTGGCGTGGGATTTTGGAACGATGCTTTTTGGCTGGATAGGGAGGAATTGGGCAACCATGAATCCTGGATTCTTAAAATGAATGTGGTTGATGATCCAGTATGTATTCATAGGAAATCTCCAGTAGGACCAAAGCACTTGGCTTTGCAAAATATTACCATGTCAGTGCTCTTTCTCCAGCTGCTGAGTTCCTCAAGTGTCTCAGCCCTTTTCACCTGGACCTCACTACTGAGCACGCAGTCAAATGAATCAGACACACATGCCCAATGTGCATCATCTTTAACTGCACACTTTACCAGCTTGGTGAAAGCCCTGTGCCAAATGCATTGCGCATGCCCACCAGGCAGTTCTTAAAGGGTCATAATGGCACGAAAATCCTTTTTCATGGAATATGGACCAGTGAGGACTGTTTCACTGGCAGGTTTCAAATTTCTACAAAAGAAGAAAAAAACTGAGCAGGCTCCATATCCCCTTCAGAAAATAATGGAGGCCATTAATATATCTTTGAGACAACCCAATTT